TTTAAAATTTTAAAATAAATTTTAAAAAATATAAATATTTTTTCACGGAGTAATTTTATAATTTAAATATAAGATATATTTTATTCCCTCAGTTTTAAAATGACCGCCATTCTCACTTTTCAATGTAGAAATCATTATTATTTTTTCAATTGTGTTTTTTAATTATTTCTTTTTACACTTCTTCCAATATATTAATAAGGATAATTTGGTAGAAATATTTTATGATATAAAATTATAAATAATAGTTTTATAGTTTTATCGTGTATATATATGTCAAACACATAATAATATAATAAACCTATCCTAATCATTATCTTTATTTAAATTTTATTATATTTTATCTTATCTATATTTTATTTTATTTTGGTTTTTCACCATCGGTATAGTCCAGTTTAAAGATCAGTTTTGACATTAAGTAATTACAATTTCTTTCTGATCAAGTTGTGAAAGATCGAACTGTAATTCTCCCTACTTTAAACACCAAACACACCTGCAACATTAAATCCATTAAAAATCAAATTAATAAGTTATGGTAACTTGCATTTTAACATTGATAACCACATCTTTGGTTCTATATATGTATGAGATTTCTTTCGAGTTATACCTAACATCCTTCGTATTTCAATAATATTATGTCTTTGTAAAAATTTAAGCCAAAAATTGATATAACAATTAAATATATGTAGCAATGAAGTATACGGTTCAATCTGTCTTTTCAAAAAATTTGATAAAAATACATATAGTTTTTTAGATTTTTTGAAATGTTCGGTTGAATGTGTGCATTTTAATTGAATTTTTTTAAAAAAATTGGAAATAATTATGCATTTCACCATATTTGAAAAAATATATGCATTTTTACTATTTTTTTTTGCTGAAAAATCTAATTAAACATATGAATTTTAATTGGATTTTTCCAAAAATGCGGAAAAATACATTTTTACCGGATTTTTACTAACATGTGGTAAAAGATCATGAAAAATCCAAAAAAAAATTAAAATATGATAAAAAAACATACTTATCATCAACAACAAATATTTGGCAGTGTTTATGAAATATCCAAAAAAAATTACAGAATTTTTTTAAATATTCAAATTTCTCCAATACTTCAATACTTCATGTGAAATGAAATATAATATTGTACAACATTAATATGGTAAAACATAGGGGGTGTCAAGTAAAATTTGGGGATGGCAGGAAGAAACACTCATATTTATAGATATTTTGATTGTATTTAAGACATTATTATCCCACCCTTATACATTCTCACAAATCTTTGGTGAAAACCCAAAGTATTTCTAGAATTCATAGATACATCTCCATACGCACATATTCTCTATTATACTTAATTTTAGTTTAGAGATACATCTCTGAAATTATATCTGATATATATATAAGAGAAAAAATAAAATCACACTTATTAAGAAAAGTAAAAGCATAATGATTTGATTTGTGATTTTCTTTGAAAATAATGCATAGAAAGATATAAAAACAATTCTAATTGATTGTTGATTATAGAAAAGATGAGAGAGAAGGGTAAATTAAATGCAATTTCCATTTCATTTTACCTTGGAAAAAATGAAAGTTGAGTTTTTCTCTTATATTTTGGGACAACAAAAATACATTTTTTTCTCTTATATTTTGGGACCGAGGAAGTATTAAATTTAAACACTCAACATTACGTAGATAGTTGATAATCAAAAAATTAATATTACATATATCATTATAATGGGAAGTTCAGGACGTTGCAACATGCCGATAATATCTTCAACGGATCTTGCAATCTTCACATCCACTTCAATCGGATCTTTTATTGCATATCGATGAAAAGCACTCCACGTAACTTCTAAATCTACATTTGTCTTTAATTTGAAGTTAGTGAACTGTATATCCCCGTTGTTGTCAAACAAGTGTGAACAATACTCGAGCTTGAGAACTCGTCGATTTTCTTGATATCGTAGGAGAGTATTTAGTTTGGATATCCGTTCGGCGAGAGTTATGTCCTCGCATACCCTAAACTAAAGTGGCAGCTTCTCACTGTTGAAATACACAAATAATGCAAGGTGAGAGATATGTATTCATTTTCTAATATTGGGTGTTTTGTAGAAAAAATGGGATGAAAGATATCCTATTTATACAAGGTTTGGATCATTTTGGACCTTAGAAACCTTATCATGTCATCAGAGCACGTTTCAGAGATGCATATCCAGATAAATCTTATTATTTTACGGAAAAAAATTTATTCGAATATGCACATTCGAAAAATTTCCTTTTTTAAAAAAAAAAAAAATTAGAATGGGGTTTATCCAGATATCCATATTTGAAATCAACCTTAAACCAAAAACAAATCAAAAACTTAAAAAAAAATAGAAGTTGTAAACCATAAAATGTGTAAACAGAAACAATCGATATTTACGCCATAATTACTTAATATATATATTACTTATGTATTGAATCGTATCAAGATTCATTGACGATAATACATTTTAAAAAAGTGTATCAATTACAATCTAAAATGCATTAAAAGACGCATCACCGCATAAGTCTATGACTGGTTCCTCCTTCGACTTTTTCTTATTTGATTCTCTTTCAAACTCGCTCAATTTTGTGAAGCCTTCAATCCTTTCTAGAAATTGATCTGACCAAGTTTATGCCTCTTTTGTGGAATGTGCCATCCACTCTAACAATGTACTTGGTATAGGACAACCTGATTTCAAATAAACCTCAATAAAGTGTAGCGATTTTGAAAGCCACCATATACACATGATGCATCCGGAAGGATCTTTAGGTGGATCACTTGAAGTGCAAAAAATGTCTCCAAAAAATCATATCTTGTCAGATCGATACACACTGTCATATGCACTTGCTATAAGATGACCTATTTCAAGGAATCACATCTATTTTGAAAATGATGTGGGTCTGCTAACACAAGAAATAAGAGCGTCTTGAATTGCATCAAAATGTTCTTTTTTCCCGTATAACATTGTGTAGAATTCCCTACGCACCATCAAATTTTTCAAAAGTTGTTGGCGGACAAGAAAGTGATTTTCCTCTCTTTTATCGAGCAAGTCGGATACAATCCAAAAATTGTAATTACCATCGTTAACATTTACAATCCGCTCAATGTATTTGTGTATAAAAAATGACATTTCTTCAATGAAGATTATTTTCGGCATCGACGGTGAAGGAGGTGGTTTATTAATGCGAGGTGGTGATATATTTAATTTCCCGCGTCACATTTTCGAAGATGCATCTCCAAAATTTTTATTGAACGATTAAATGCTAAATCCCAATGAAAAATGCTTGAAAATGATTTCATGTGTGTTTTAGAGAGACATCTCCGAATATATTTCAGAAATATTATGAGATACATCTCTGAAATAAATTTTGACAAAAATATTTATGGTGCGTTCGAAGATATATTTTTGAAAATTTCTAAAAGTAATTTTAAATTTTCAAAGATGTGAATCACACCATAATAATAGAAAAAAAATTATATTATTATTATTATTATTATTATTATTATTATTATTATTATTATTATTATTATTATTATTATTATTATTATTATTATTATTATTATTATTATTATTATTATTATTATTATTATTATTATTATTATTATTATTATTATTATTATTATTTTAAAATGTTATGAATTAAAGCCCATACAAAAAAATCGAACATGTTATAAGTTTAATAAAGCCTATAAAAAAATCCAGTCAAATAATATTTCTCTAAAATTATACTCCATCCTTTCTAAAAATATAAGAAACAAAATAAGTAAAATAAGTAAATTGTATTTAATTAACTTTTTCTTACTTTTTTATAACATACATAATCAATAATTTTTAAAAAATTAAAATTTTTAAAAATTAAGCATATAAATTTGAAACTAAAATCTACAAAAAAATTCACAATTGAATAATGAATATTTTAAAATCAAAATCTATCATTATAAATAAAATTTCTCTTTTTAAATTCATTGAATATATAATTTACATAAAAAATCAAGTATATTTATTATTCAATAACTAATAATGATGGGAGTAGTATATATTAGACACAGTAATCTATATATATCATTAAGCAAACATGAATATCTTTTCTTTACCAATCAAACTTGAATTATATTATTAAAATCCACAAATAAAGATGAATAATGAGATTTTGCCAACCATGAAAGTAAAGTCACCGTCCCAGCAACATACAGAATAGCCAAACCACAACAACAACCGTACATACAAAAAGTACAACAATTTTCACAAACAAAAAACAACCTCTTCCACTTTAAGTTACCTCATACCAAGTATCAACCACTTCAAAGTTCAAACAATAACAATTCTCTTTCTTCTTCAATTGGATCATTCATTTTCCTTTAAAACTCAACCCCTCAATTTTGACTTTAACTCCTTTAATGGTTCTTTAATTTTGGAGTTACTTAGATCTTACTTCAGTTTCTGTTTGTCACAATTCCTCCAACAAAGAGAAACCGACAAGGTGCTTTTAAATCTCTCAAAGATTGTTTTTTTCTTCTTCTGAGTTTCTATTCCATCATATTAAACTTGTTTGTAAAGAAGCTGGAACATTGCTGCTTATATTGAAGTTTCACCCACCTTCAAAATTTGTATCTTTCTGATGAAGGAGTAATCTATTTTGTTCTGATTTATCAGCTTATTACCAAGAGGTTGGAAGGTCCCAATTATCATATCCACCTTATATAGTTCTAAAGTTACAATCTTTTGGCATTAGGGTGTGGATTGATGCAGATTTAGAAAACCATGCTTTATTCGGTAGAAAATTATGGACCCTTTTTTGTTGTTGAAATGTAACTATACTTGTTAAAAGGGTAGTTTATATTTTGTTGTGTATTTGTTATCTATCTGTTGTTATTATCATCTTAAGATTTGTGAGGTTCTTGCTGCTTTGGGTTTCAACTTATAGGGATCTTGAAGTGAAGCGGTTCTTAAAACCTGTTTTTGATTTAGTAGTGTGATAAGAGTATGAGGAAAAATGTTGGTTCTCATTCAGGAAGGATGTTTAGTGACAAGAAATGGATTATCCCATTTTTCGCAAGTTTGTTGGTATCTGCCAGCATGGTTCTGACGGCTATTCTAGGTGAATTTAGTTCTTCTGGCAGGGAAGAGCTGTTGCCGCTGGTTGATGTGATTTCACTCAACGGACTAGAGGATAATTCCAGTGGATATTTTGTGGAGTCAGATTTGGAGAGGTCTTTTAATGGTAGTGTTGTTGTGAAGATGAAGGTGCCTAAGTTTGCATACCTTATTTCGGGCACAAAGGGTGATAGTCATAGGATGCTGAGGACATTAGAGGCAGTGTACCACCCCAGAAATCAGTACATTTTGCATTTAGATCTTGAGGCGCCGCCCCGGGAAAGGTTGGAGTTGGCAAATGCAGTGAAAGCTGATCCAATATTCAGGGAAGTGGAGAATGTGCGTGTTATGTCTCAATCTAATTTGGTTACTTACAAGGGTCCTACAATGATTGCTTGTACTCTTCAAGCTATTGCGATACTATTGAAGGAGAGTTCGGAGTGGGACTGGTTTATAAACCTCAGTGCCTCAGATTATCCTCTTGTGACACAGGATGGTTAGTAATTGAACTTTTTACTTGCTTCTTTGATGTTATCTATGCTGTTATTCTGTAACTAATATGCTTGCATAAACTATGGTGTGGTAAAAGGTTTAAAAATAAAGTTAGGCTTGAGCTAATGAAGCAAGTCTGCCATGTTTGTCGCCCCGTTTCTATTTTTTCTTTTCCTTTCCTTTGTAATTCCCTTGTTTGGGTGTATTCATGATTCTAGGGAACTCTACTGCTTATCTTCCTTTAAGTCTTTTGTTAAGAGTCCCACACGGACAATATATGGCTTGAACATGTGTTTATAAGTGGAGCAATCCTCACCCTATATGCCAGTTTTGTATGTTTGAGTTAGGCGCAATCTCATCTCTTAACATCTTCCAACCATATTCATTCTAGCCTTAACTATAGTTGTTTTCAATCATTCAAGCCCTAACCTTGATTAACCAAGCCCATCTTACTTTGTAGTCTACACCACCAGAAGACTTCAAAGTAAGACATTGCGATCACCTATGTTATCAAACTCGCCCGTTCCGTATCTCGACACGGAAGAGTAAAACCAAGAATACCGCATCACGCCGTATATGATATTACGCTTAGGATAGCAAGGTTATTTTATTGAATTTTATTGACGTTTGCAAGCATGTTTTGCTTAGGACTTATGGCTTTTATTTCTAAATATGAACAGTTCATGAATTTTGATTGATTTACTTTAGTTTTTAACAATCGCGTGTTCATTAGTATTAACTATATTACTGTCCGCGTCACAAAAATACCGGCCGTTCCGCTCCTTGCTCCCGTTCCGTTCCATTTTTGGGAATGGCTGCACCACACCGCTATCCAAGATTGACAACATATCACATCCTTTTGTTTCTGCTAGAGTTCTCCCAAGTTCCATTTTATGTTGATATTTGAGATATCTGTCTGGATATGAAAGTCATTTTTGTTGTTAGTACCTGCCAGATTATAATTGTGTGCTCCATCTTCTAGCTCAAATGCTAAACAAGGCTTTTTCAATATATAGTCATTATTTTTTTGAAAGGTCTACATCTTATTTTACACAATTTACGTGTCCTCTAATCTAACTAAGTCGATTTGCCTCTAAAGTGGGCAAGGGTTTATCAACTGTTGGTCCCACAAAAATTAAGAGAGTACTATTACTGATAGCTATTATTCCTATCTAAAGAAGGGGAAGTGTATTATCAAAGGAAATTGGAAGAACACTACATAAACTGTATGAGAAAATGCTACCGGCCAAATTGAATACCAATGGCCCCACGCTGAAAAGGCGCTGTCCAAATAGAAAACAGACATGTCCCTCAAATATTACTTCCTTGCACATATAGCCAACTTCGTCGTTTTCCCTTGCTATGTTCATGTAAAACAAAAACTCACTTTAAAGGAATGCTTTCGAATCTAGGCAGTTTCTGAATCTTCTCAGGAATCACAGCTTCATTCATGAATGTATGTTGGACATGGATTATAACAAGATTGGTGTTATGCTACATAGACTAAAGTGTAAAACATTTGAGATAATTATCCTTCTGAATTAGATGGTTTAGATTCATACTAAAAGTCTAAACTTGTGTTGGGCTATTATCGCATACAAAATGCATTCAGTTTTGATCCGAACTATTTGCTTAAGGGGCATTTGTAGTCAACAATATACATGTGTTCTGGTGTCAACATCTTCTTTAGTACAAATATCTTTATATTGTATCCGTTGCCATAAATGAAGATTCATATAGTTCATCTCCTAATGTTCCTTCTGTATTTGATTGAATTGCATACATTATCAACTTATAAGAGCATGATGTTTACTACTTTTGCAGATATGCTTCATGTTTTCTCTAATCTGTCAAGAGATCTCAATTTCATTGAACATACACGCATTACCGGTTGGAAATTGTAAGTGAAATTGTATTGCTGCATATTTGAAAATTGTTGTATCACATTGCAATCCCCTCATTGACATTTCTTTCTATTACTGCATATATGTTCAGGAACCAAAGAGCAAGGCCCATCATTATTGATCCCGCCTTTTACTTATCAAAGAAATCTGATTTGGCAGTGACTTCTCAGAAAAGAACACTTCCCACTTCTTTTAAATTGTTCACAGGTATGTTTTGTCTCTATATTTCAGATATGTTTATTCCTTTATTTTCTACAGCATACTTAAATTTTTGTCTATGCTTTGTGAACAGGTTCAGCTTGGGTTGTACTAACACGGTCTTTTGTGGAGTATTGTATATGGGGATGGGATAACTTTCCGCGGACGATGCTTATGTATTATACAAATTTTGTCTCCTCGCCAGAGGGATATTTTCATACTGTTATTTGTAACACTGAGAAATTTCGGCACACTGCAATAAGTCATGATCTTCACTACATTGCTTGGGACAGTCCTCCAAAGCAACATCCAATATCTTTATCTATGAAGGACTATGATAAAATGGCTAAGAGCAATGCTCCCTTTGCCCGGAAGTTTGGAAAAGATGATACAGCCCTAGACAAGATCGACAAAGAGCTTTTGGGGCGCACACATAGATTTTCTCCAGGAGCGTGGTGTATTGGGACATCAGATGGTGGAGCAGATCCGTGTTCTTTGCGGGGAAATGATACAGTGTTAAGGCCAGGACCTGGTGCGGAGAAGCTACACCAGTTGCTTCAGGTGCTGTTATCTGAAGAATTTATAAGTAAACAGTGTTTGTGACAATGGGGTACACTACAGATTGGATAATGCCAAGTGTACATAATATGGTTATATATCATCATATATATCTGATATAAAAAGTTAGAGTCTTGTATTGAATAATATAGGTTCATAGTAAGAAGCAACAAGCACTCATAGTAGTAGTTTTTTTGGTGCTTGTTTCGGTTTAGTTTCGACAGTTCAAGTCAACCATTTATATGTTATAGCAACTTTCTTATTTTTGTTGAGTTAAAAAGACGGCCAAGTTTCATTTTCATAACAATTGGTTATCTATTATGTGGTTTGTAGTCCCGTAACTGTGGTTCAAATGGTAAAAGATCTTAATACTTCTTTTTCCACACTTAAATGTGCGAGTTTTCATGGTAAGCTCTTTAAAGTAAAAAATATTGTCTTGTATGGATCGTCCAATCTTATTAACCTTCAGATAGCAGCAAACTATTTATGCTGAATTGTTTCCTTGAGTTAGGACCATTTTTGTACATTTGAGGACATGTCTTTAATTCAAACTTGAAAGCTTAATAAACCATACACCAGACTTGGTGGTTAGGAGGACATCAGTTATTAAATAAGGTCCACTTTTTTTCCAGTAGGTGCCAGTGGAAGCTACTTTTACTTTAAGAATTTTTTGCTCCAATCAATTTTACAGCATTGCCTGTGTATCAACCTAAACTATTATTTTCTCCACAAACCATGCAGTTGAAAATGTTAACTGTCCAATTTATGCTGCTTATGTTCACAATAATATCTGCCTGTTAATTGATTAATCTCATGTATGAAAAATAAAATTGCATTTTCAATGCATATTATAGTTAGCCTCATCCTTTATTCTCAACTTCCACCCATATACCAATCGTATGACCATTTAATTTAATTCCATCAACACAAATACATATATCTCTATGAATGCTTCGGAAGCTTAAAACTCATAACATATACCAGAAATTAGTGTACAATGGAAGAGATAATGGGCTATCTAATCTCAAAATACAAATTTGTGAAAGTGAAAAACAATGGTCTACATAGTTCAGGACAGCATTTCCCTCGACTTTCCTTCGCAGACCAGCTGTGACAGCAACCTTCTTCGTACCAAGGAAGGACTGCAGTCTGCAAGGAAGAAGAAAGGGGGGAAACTTAGAAATATATTTTGCAAATGCATAAACACAAACAAGTAAAAACATAAAACATGGACAATAGTGATGCAAACTTGTAAATAATCTAGATTAAGTGATTGGTAATGAAATTGCTCAAGAACTCTGCTGTTTAGCAAAAAAAAATCTTTATTTTGAAAGAAAAAATGAATGCAACAGTATCTGTTGGGAGCATTTGAGACAATTGATTCATCCAATGGTGCTTCAGAGTTCTCAGTAGAAAATCTCCATTGCTTTAAATTCAATGCCCTAAATGTTTTCTTGCACGACTATCACATAAAATCTCAGATCATTCCAATAATTTAAAATCACGACTATCACATAAAATCTCAGATCATTCCATTGGGTTCGAACCCTACTGGAAACCTCGTGTCCTGGGTTACCGCTTTTTATTGTTAATATGGAAATCACACAACTACAATACAGTTCACCAGAAAAATATTTATCATAGTAACAGTTTGCTTCAACAAATTAGTCACTTTATCTCCAAATTCTGTGTTGTCTTGACATGATAAGTACTTATTTTAATAATTACTTTTTAAAATTAACCAGATTCTAGAAGAATGACCATACATCAGTCTAATTGAACATATGCTCCATAATACCCATAGCAATAAATATAGCAACATTATACATAGTGAAGTATTCAATACATACATGAACCATATTTTTTGTTTTTTTTACCACTGTAAGCAAAATCTGGTTCAAAATTGAGTGTCATTGGCCTCAAGAGGGTAGCCGTTATAGTGGAGCTTGACATGCAATGAAGAACACAAGATCTTGAACTTGAGCCTGAGGCTATCCATGATCTCCTGCACTTGTAGATCTTCGGGATCCATTAGAGGGTATTTGTGGATCAAGTCCTGCATCTGGATGATAGCTATTTTGGCCCGAGAAGAGAAGCACGATGGATCGATCTGGACGGCGGATGTCCAGATGCGGATGCAGCCGCTGTAGAAACCGAGTTCCTCACCAACCTCAAAACCGACCTTGAGCCCAACCTGCTTCCCCTCCTCCTTACCTGCAATAAGGCCATCTCTGTGGCCTTCGTCGTAGCCTTCCTTCAAATGGGTCTCCTCCAAATTCACGGAAGAATCAAATGGGTCATCCATCAGCCCTCAACACAACCTGCCAAACAGAATGGACACTTTTATTTCAACTCTCGCCCTTGTCGGTTTTGTTTCTTTTATGTTTAATGATTTTTTTTAGGTTTAAATGTTATTTTATTTTCACTTATTTTAGTTCAAGTAATTTTTTCTTCAACTTCTTGTATGTTCAATTTTGTTTCGTTTTAGTGTTTGACTTCAACTTTCTGATACAAAAATGGTGATATAGCTAACGTTGTTAGGCAGCTTTTTTTGTTTTATTTTTTTTTTTATTTTTTTTTTTAAATTCAACATGGATCGGTTATTATTATTATTTAATTATTAGGAGATTAAATTCAAAAATGATTGTATCCGGTATTAAAGAGGACTAAATCCAAAAATGAAGATTATTTTGATTTATGTAAAGATGTTCATGGCTTGTTTCATTCAAAAAAATAGAACCAAAGTGAATCAAATCTGATTTTCTCATCAGAAGAATCACATGTTGTAAATGGTGTAGAAGTTTTTATTCCCTTTAACTTACAATGTAACCACTGTCATACGGTGAGAGAACTAACTTATTTTTGCATTTTATCGCAAATGTTGCGGATAGCAAGGGTTGCCACCGACTTTTATTCTATCCAATAAGGAAATGGTGAAAAGAACATGAAAGACTTTGAGATTTTTGAGTTCGAGGGGTAGGTTATGAAAAGGGAAGGTGTTAACACCATTTTCATCCGTAGTTATCTACTGGCACTCAATCGCTTAGCTAACTTTTTTTGAAAATTGCTTTATATTTTGTACGTTTGAAAAAATATTTTGAAATGCCAATGTGAGGCAAAACTTCGTAATAATTCTCGTATATGTCATCGAGAATGCGTACAAGTGTTTAGAAAATATTTCGAAAGTGTCTGTGTGAAATGTTTTTGTTTTAAAGAACTTTGTGAGCAAGCGATTAAGATCTACCCTACTCAAATTCGTTCTTGTATTTTTCTCCTCCTTTAGATAGTGCTATCCGTACCATTAGTTAGTAGGAAGCCCAATCGTTGGATGTGAAGGAACATGCATGTGTCATCGTACAGTCATCGAAGGAAACTGGTAAGGACGATTTAGCAATTTTTCATAAGGGACTAGATCGTTTACCGAATACAACGTCGAATGGGTCATCGAGGGACTATGATCTTTGTATCGAGGAACTTTGTTAAAGCGTCCCACGTTCGAGGGACATGACTATTTTCCGAAGGCAATAAGGGAGATTACCCTAGAGGTGCGAGTGTGCAAGTGATTTGTATTCAGTTATTTTATCTTTGCAGTTAGGATTCTCCATCGTTAATTTTTTTATCTTTCCATGCAAACCCTAATTACTAAGCAGTAATATAGTAAAATAATAGCAGAAACATAAAGTGCAGAAAAATAAAGGTCCTATGTTATTACATGACTTCGGGACAATTATATAAGTATAGATGCAGGAAGATAAACCCTAAGCTATTACATACTCGAAGCAATTACATAATAGTGAAAAAGAAAGCGGGAAATAAAGACCTAAGCTATTACATAGGAAACACGCGACCTATACAATTGATCTATGAAATTTAAAATAGGAACATAAAATAGAAAAGAATGTGAAAAGATTTTTTTGGTGATTTTTTATAGAAAAAGTTTGTGATTAATTATAAAAAAAGACTTAAAACCTAATTTATTAAAAAAAAAAGCTCAATTAATTTAATTAAAAAAACCTAAGAATCTAATCAATTTTAATTAAGAAAATTAATTAATTAAATTAATTAATTAAAAAAGGTGATTAAAATTAAACCTAATTAATTAACCTAAACTTATATTTTAGTATTTACATTAAATATCAAAATAAATAAGTAAAAGAAAAAGAGAAAAATAGAAAAGATTGGGTCTGATTATAGCAAATCGGGGGTGCTAAATAGCAATTGTGGTCCAGGTCCAATTTTCCAACGCTAGATCTAGTGCATTCAGTCCCAGAAGGTTCATCATCGACTTGCAGATCTGGAGACGTTGGATCAGGCCTTATGAAGATTTGGTGGTGATACGTGGTTGGGCATATCGTAGGCTTGTGGGACGCACTACATAAAATCACTGAAATCAGAAAATATGAAAAATTGCAAAAGGTAGGGATCAGACCCACGCCCTAGCATAGTAAGGCCTTATCGCGCGCACTTCTAACACTGAGGTGGTGATACATCTGATGATTAAAAATCAAACAATTAATTAAGTAATAAAACAATTAACTGGACCAGAGAGGCGCCAGAGCCCTAGCTCCGGTCGTCTTCTCCGGTGAGTCTTTTCCCAACCTGCAAAAATAACACTTGTTAACGATCCAAAGGGACCCTACCCCCTAAAATCAAACCCTGCGAATTCAATAGAACTATTATTTTGGACTGAATCACGCTGGTTTATGAGATATATCAACAATATTATGGCTCGGTATGAACATGATGGTTCATGATTCCGGTAGCATGAAGGCCATGCGATTGGTCTAATTTGCACCTTGAGACCTCAGAAGCATGTTAAACAAGTTAGTACATATTAAAATGTAATGAGAGCAAAGATATGAAAAACATGCAATGATAAAACCAGTGATGCATATACGAGTGTTTCATGCTCTTTGGATCTTCAAAGACACTCCATTCTTACCCTACAATGTTGGTGTAAGTGAATGGACATGTTTGTTTGCTTTGGAAACGGCTGCAATTAGGGTTCTAAGGTTGCCCTAGTTTTGACTTTTTTTTAGAGGTGT